ATGACTAAGACCCCAAAAGGAAATAAAACAAAAACATAAATAAATAAGTGGGACTTAATCAAATTGAAAAGTTTTTGTGCAGCAAAAGTAATAATCAACAGAGTAAATAGGCAACCTATACAATTAGAGAAGATATTCACAAGCTACACATCTGACAAAGAACTAATATCCAGAATCCACAAAGGACTCAAACAAATCAGCCAGAAAAAAAAAAAAAAAATTAAAAACTGAGCAAATGACATGAACAGACATCTCTCAAAAGAAGGCACATTGGGGGGAAAAAAAAAAAACACCATGAAAAAATTGTCAACATCAGTCATCATCATAGAAATGCAAATTAAAACCACAATGGGATACAACCTTACACCAGAACAGCCATTATTTAAAAAAAAAAAAAAAAAAAAAAGATGTTGGTGAGGTTGCCATGAAAAGGGAGCACTTATATACCACTGGTGGGAATGTAATTTTGTACAACCTTTATAGAAATTTCTCAAAAAACTTGTAGTAGACCTACCATTTAATCCAGCATTCCCACTACTTGGTATCTGCCTAAAGGAAGAGAGATAGTTATGCAAAAAGACCCCTGCATGCACATATTTATAGCAGCATAATTGCAAAGAAGTGGAATCAACCCAAATGCCCATTAACTGATCAGCAGATATTGAAAATTATGCATATATAATGAAATACTATTGATCTATAAAAAAAGAACAAAATAATGTCTTTTAAAGTAACTTAGCTGGAACTGGAGACCATTACCCTAAGTGAAGTAACACAGGAATGAAAGGCAAATATTGTAGGTTCTCACTTATAAGTGGGAGCTAAGATAAGAGTCTGAAAGTTATATAGAATGATATATTGGACATTGGATACTTACAAGGGAGACTGTGAGTGAGGGGAAGGGATGAACAATCACTTATTGGGTACAATATGCTCTAGTGTGGATGATGAGTACGCATAAAGCCTAGACTTCTTGACCTTTACACAATGCATTCATGCAATCAAAAACCATTTGTACCCCTAAAGCTATTAAAATAAAAATAAATAAATAAATGAAAATTAACTTAAAAATTGATTATTGAGAATACAATATCAAGTATATAGTCAACATTCAATAGGAAATATGTTCGGGAAGGACAGAACAAGTGAACATTCATAGGAGCATTCAAGAGTAAAAAATTTACGAAGCAGACTTATAGTTTTGCACAACACAACTTAGATGTGAAAGACATTTTTTTTAGTAACTGATCTAATATTTATCATGAACCTCATCCCATAATTTGTTTGTCAAAGGCAGAATATTCTCTCTTTGCATTCTGGCTGTAACAATCCTAATGCTATCGACCATAAGTTGATGCCTCTTGTAGAATAGGCAGAAAGTCATATCCATAGACAGGCAACAGAATAAAAGAGTGTTAATATATTCAAAAATATTAAGCCTGTTACATTTATAAACAAAGCATAATGGTTCAGAACAGAGTTATGCAAAGTCACCATAAAGAAACCATAAATGGCATCCAGAGCAGAAGCCTTGATTAAGGTTCTGAGACACCAAACAAGAAATGTGTAAATCAAAGAATCCCCGACAGTCAATGAAGGCATCACAAAATCCAACTTGGCAGTGCGTGTAAGTTCTGCCTGAGGAAAGAGTAATGTAGACTGATGAGTTTCAACACTTGAAAGACATTCTGCTCTTAATTGTTTATCATTAGTAAGCAACTTTCTGATTACAATTTGGCTTCTTGTGTCTTTTTTCCTAGAGAGAGAACTGGTCATTCTGACATGACCATTGTAATTCACATAACATCACAGCCCACTAAATAAATAAAAATACTGTAATTCTAGTGTATATCATAGTCTTTTTCATATTGACTAATAAGTCTCACCCCTGGGGAAAGGAACTCCTTGGTGGGTTAATAAGATGGGGTCTTTGTACCCCTATGGCTGAGGGCCAGATGTGAATCTGGTATGAATTCATAAAGATAAAAACTGCTTTGTGAGGGATATACTTACTTCTGAGAAAACTTGACCTTGACTAAGGTGTTTATCTGTCTCTTCCAGAGCTATCTTAGAGTCAGGTAGAGTGATGAAATTCCACACCATTGTAAATGGCTAGTGAAATGATTTTCATTTCAATGAATTTACACAAAAATATGAGTCTGGCCTTAAATAACAAACTAGGAATGACAAATATACCTGCTTCCCACTTTTATTTTCATAAAAATTTTATATGTTAGGCCTTGTTCCAAAATTGTGGATGGTATAGAGCCAGCCACTAATTCCGTGTTTACAGGAAAATCCATCACCTTGGGAAGTATAATTCTTATCTGGTTTGGAGACAAAATAGAATATATAGTAGGGCTTTAAAACCTGCAAATAGCTCACTGTTATATGATTGTTACGTAACAACTGGCTGCTCTGGTGAGAATTTATACCCAGCAAACTTTATAGAATTTGATTATGGATTTGGGACAGGAGGATAATAAAAATAACAACAAAAGCAATGAGGAAGCCATCATCAAAGAGAATTTGCCCACCATGAGTGGCAGAACCATGACAGAGGCCAACCCACTCCACTCCACTAACTTGTGTCATGATTTCTATGTTTTAATGTACATGTATCCAGGCTTACTAAGAGTAGAGCCAGAATTTACTGGATCAACTGCCAAAGAGCCAGAAGAAGGGCTTTTCCTTCAAAATATCAAGATCCAATTTATTTATTATACAGTATTAAATATTGTTTACTAGCTATAGTGTCATCGTGTTTTATTTTATTTCAAGTTTTTCAAGTATTTTTAAGCAGAGTATCACATGATTTATAATTTTAATTTTCCCTCTACATCAATTCAAAGAAATGCACAAAGTTGTGAATTGTCCACAACTTTGGGACTATGGTTGTCGATTCATCCTCATCAGGATAACCAAGGCACTGGAAATGGGACAGAAGAAATAAGAGCTCGTTTCTAGATGGTTCATTTAAATTGTTTTATGGATATAAACATCGTGGGCAAGCCAGTGGTTTATCCTTAACTTTTAAAAAGAACAATTAAATCCCGCTCCAATCTGACTTGAAAATGCAGGGGAAGGGGGTGGGCAGGAGGGTGGTATTAAGAGTAAAGAATGGACAGTCACGTGGACCTCACCTTTTTCTGTCACACTACTGTGGGGCCAGCCTGTGTCTTATAGGCAACTAGCACCCTTTGAGAGTGACTCTTTCTATGAATGAATGAACATTCCATGACTGACTCTTAAAGAGATTTTATCTACCCAAAGAATGCTTTTAAAAATGGAAACTATATATTGTTTTCAACAATCAAGGTGTTGGATTTAATGTTGCTAACAGATGAATATAAATGTTAATCAAAACTTGAAACTGTGGACTTTCCAACAAAAAGTGTTAAACAAATATAAATACATTGGAGTCATTTCTTTAATCTTTAACTTTGAATTTTCTTAAAAGAACATGCAAATAAGTTGAGTGATGAGAATTTATGATAATACCAAAAATAATTCACTCAGGATGACAAGTGGCATCTACTGGTAGATCAGATTTTTTTAGTGACCCACAGAAAAGGTAAGCTTCCATTAGGCAACTATTTGTCATTTGAAAATAAAGGTTAAAATTGCAAACACATTTGGAATGGAGGAATCATGGTGGCTGCTATAAAATGCTCTTAAATAATTTATATCAAGGCCATTCTTACACTGATCAATGGATTTATAATCTTTTAAAACACTAGAATCCTGGAATCAAAAATAAAAAAAAAAAAAGAAAAGAAAACCAAAAAGGAAAAATCACCTTCCGGTGTCTAAGATATGATCTGGCAGTCTATAATGAATTCTATAATGAATTCTTGTTTCAGGTAAAGCTTCTGCTAACTTGAAATATCAATCAATATTTTATGCATATTGTCATTGTTTTTCTTTTTTCTTTTTTTTTTTTTTGAGTTGGAGTCTCACTACTCTGTCGCCCAGACGAGTGCAGTGGCCACTCCCAGCCACCGCAGCCTTGACCTGCTGGGCTCCGGCGATCCTTCCACCTCAGCCTTCCAAGTAGCTGGAATTACAGGCATGTGCTACCATGCCTGGCTGATTTTTTGATTTATTGTAGAGATGAGGTCTCACTGCCCAGGCGGGTCTTGAACCCGCAGGCTCAGGCAATCCACTCACCTCAGCCTCCCAAAGGCGTGGGATTACAGCCTGAGCCATCGAACCTGGCTTGTCATTGTTTTTCACAGGGACCCAGGAAATCCCACTGACTCAAACACAGATTTGTGTTTAATTTTAGATTCAGAAGCTGCAAGTGCATATTTGTATATGGGCATACTGCACACTGGTGGAGCTTGTTGCACCTACGGCTTCAACGGCCTCCTTAATTGTCATTCTTTCCTTCTGCCTTTCTCCTCCATTATATCTTCAGCTTTTGGGTTACCTCTCAACTTAGACTTGTGTCCTTCACACATGTCATATTTGCTCTTCAATGAGCGATCCCAACCCATTGCTTCGACATCTTGAAATGTATACCTACCTGAATATTTATGGACACCATATGCTAGTATTACTTCCAGAAGTATTTCTAGCCTTCCTTATGTGTAAGATTTAGTAAATACAGTTATAGAGTGTTAAGTTCTATTAAAAATATAAAAGTCAAATTTAATTAAGTAATTCCAAATATAAAGGGAACTAAGAATGACAACTCTGATCATGGGTCAAGAAAACATAATATGACTAACATCCATTTGTTTGTTAGCTTTTCTGACTGAATCTTTAATGGAAGGGCCCACCTTTAGAGGTCAGAAGTAACTTGGTCCTCCCTGTCTTCTGCCCAGACATTTCATCTCAGGTCAGACCTCTCCTAACCATGCTATGAATGTCTGGCACCAAGACATGGTTGGACTCAAAAGTTTATAACTGAATCTGCAATGGCACTCATAGTATAATTCATAGTCTTATACGGTTTCTCAAAACAGATACAATATACAAAAAACTTGAACACCCACCTGCCTCACAATTTTCATTCACAAGTCCTTTATACACATGGTGGCTGAAGGCAATCTTCACATCTTCTCCTTCCCTGTGAATGACCAAGAGACCAGTGGTTGCCCTGGCTGGAATGCCCTGGTCTGTAACTTGTATCTGCAGCCAGATAGGAAAATTTTCTGAAGATAGATTTTGCTGAAGGTGAATTTCTCCTGAATATTTTTCAACAGAAAATACTGACTGAGTCTCTACAAAACTAAAAGCAACAGTTCCATTGGGCCCCACGTCTGGGTCACTGGCTCTCAGAATGGCAACTGTCTGATTTATAGGTGACTGAGAAGACAGAAAAACCTCAAAGGGGTTCTGTTCCCAAACTGGATCATTGTCATTAACATCAGTGACATATACTTTTATAATTACTGTGGTGCTTCTTGAGCCCTGCATGCTACAGTCTCTGGCCACAGCACTAAATGTGTGCTGCGACTGGGCTTCTCGATCGAGGGTGTGGCTGGTTCTCAGTGTTCCTGCCACAGGATCAATGGTGAATGCACCAGAAACTTCATCTGTCAGAAAATACTCAGTTTGCCCATTCAGGCCTTCATCTCTGTCCACAGCGGAGAGCACAAGAACCATGGTTCCCACTTCAGCATCTTCTCTCACAGAGGACTGGTAATAAAGTGTGGGGAAGGAAGGACTGTGGTCATTGTCATCCAAAACTCTAACTGGCAGCTGTATTACAGAGCTCCTACGCGGATCCCCCAGGTCAGAGCACACGATGACAAGGGTGAAATTGTTGACTTGCTCCCGGTCCAAAGCACGAGTGGTTGAGAGTTCTCCTGATGTTTCATTGATTGCAAAGAACTCGTCAGTATTTCCATCTATTAAAGAAAACAATTCAAAATTCACTTGAATTGAAAAAGTGTCACCCCTTCACTAGCACCATCTATGTATTCATTCATTGAAAAAAAATTTTATTTCTTCATTATTATATCCTACCACCTTTGCAAGTGTTGAGGATACAATAGTGAAAAGGCTCTGCCCTCATGAAACTTCTATTTTATTGAGGGAGTAAACAGAATAATATGACTCAATGTATATTTTCAATCAGCCAATAATCAACACTTAAATTCACTGATTTGCAACACTATGATTTTTTGTGTGCATCTACAGCTTTGTATTCATTTTTTTTCCTCTTGTATGTTTTATTTGAAATAAAAGAACAGGAATCAGGGATAAGAGATAGAATGTAATTTCCATTTTTAAATATCAATCATAAATGAACAGATTAGTTGCAGTGATTTTCCCAAATGCTACTACTACAGATTTTATGCCAGTGATACGACCACAGGAAGCTTCCTCTTTTCTACATGCCCATGGCACTTTGTGCATGAGTGATAACACTTACATTAGAGTTAGTTGAACACATAATTGCCTATTTCTTCTAAAACATAAGCTTCTTCTAACATAAGCAAGGATGATGTTTTGTTCATCTACTCCTTTAAAAAAAAAGAATCTGCTCTTCCATGGTATCAAGTAGAATAAAAATTGAAATTGAACACAGAGAAAAAAGCTTTCAAAGACATGTTAAAGTAACTCTGAAAATTAGTGAGAAGAGATGTGGGTCAAAGAATTGTTGGTCATATTCTTGGATGTGGGGCAGGGTGAAAGTACCAGGTCCAGTAGTATGGAAACTTACTAGAGTCTGAGTGCCAGAAGTATATGGGGACAAAATGGAATGATATTCAGAGAAATCAACAGCAACAGGTGATGTTAGCATAGGGAGAAGTCCTACATTTGTGTTTGCAAGACATAGTTAATCCGTACCTAAAGTATGGATAGTTAGACACACCTACATGTCTGTGGTATTTATGGTTGATAAGATGATTAATTCAGCAAACATTTGATGCATACCTACTATGTGCCAAGTATGTGTACAATGTTGGAAATATGAGGGGAACAAGAAATGATCCGACTCCAACAGTTTACAATCTAGGAGGAAAGTCTGGTCAGTACTCAAACATGACAATACGGTGTGAAAATCATATATACAGAGTACTGGGAAGCATGAGGAAGAGTGCATGGCCTGAGGTTAGGATGGCCAGGAAATAGTAGAAAAGTAACATCAAAACCGACTCCCTGATCCCCAACTTATTTTATGAAGCCAACATCATACTGATACCCAAACCTGGCAAACAAACAAATAAAGAATTACTGGCCAATCTCCTTGATTAACATAAATGCAAAAATTCTTTTTTTTTCTTTGTTCAAAGATATAGGGTACAATTCAGGATTAGGTATACAAGTGGTCATTGTACAGGTAAAGTCTGGGCCTCCTTTGGTCCCCACTTTGCCTGGTTTGAGATCAGGTACTATTATTAATGTTATGTGCTTCTCCTCCCTGACAGTTTCTGGGTACTGCCAAGCTCTTTCTTGGCAAACATTCAGAGTCCGCTTATGAGAAAACATGTGGTACCCAATTCTTTGTTTCTGTGATAAATCACTGAGTATTATAAACTCTAAATCCATTCAAGTTGCTGTGTAGCCCATACTTTTGTTTTTCTTTATGGCTGCGTAATATTCCATGGTACATATGTACCACATTTTTAAAATCCAGCACAGATGCAAAAATTCTAAAAAAGACTCTAGAAGATCAGATCCAACAACAAATCTCAAGGATCATCCACCATGACCAGGTGGGTTTCATTCCTGGAATGCTAGTTCCACAATCGCAGATGATAAACATAATGCAGCACATCAACAGATGTAAAACCTAGAACCCAGTGATTGTATCATTAGACGCAGAAAAGTATTCAACAAAATCCAGCATCTCTTCATAATAAAAACCCTTGAGCACTTATGCATAGAAGGAACATTCCTCAAAACAGTAAGAGCCATCTATGATAAACCCACAACCAACATTTTGCTCAATGGAAAGAAGTTGGAAACATTCCCCTAAGGACAGGAACAAGACAAGGATGCCCACTCTAACCCCTCCTGTTCAACATAGGATGTAAGAAGGAAATATTAATTGAAGAAGTAAAAAAATGCAAAAATTATAACTGAACAATCTTGTTCTACATATATAACAGAAAAAATTTAAACAAATGTCTACAATTTTATGAATTTGTTTTATTTTTTTGAGTCAGGGTGTCACTCTGTCACCCAGGCTGGAGTGCAGTGGCATGATCATACCTCACTGCAGCCTCAACCTCCTGTGCTCAGGTCATTCTCCTGCCTCAGCCCTGGAGTATCTGGGACTACAGAAATATGCCACCGAACCCAGCTATTTTTTGTGGGGTTTTTTTTTTTTTTTTGGTGTGTTTTCTTGTTTGTTTGTTTGTTTTTTATAGAGGCAAAGTCTCACTAGGTTGCCTAGGCTGGAAGAACTTTTTTAAAAAAATAGTATTTCAAACAGTAGAGTCACTAGAAGCACAGCGCTATATTAGAGCTGTAGAAATGTACTCTTCACTTTGCACTCCCAGCGCCTCCCATTCTGTGACTGCACCCTGTAGGCATTTTGGTTTTCTGCAGGATTGTTCCATCCTTGCCAGCACCTCCTGACCCCTTTCTCCCTTCGGGCAGCCTCTCTCCCTCTTTGAGATTGGGTCTTTTCAGGTCCAGGCTCTGCTTTTGGAAGGGCCAGTTGAGCAGAGCACCCTGTCCATCTCCTCTGTGGCTCCTCTTCACATTTACTTTGTCACCTTTAACATCTCCTTCAGCCCATTTCTTAAGCCTGGTAGTTTGGCAGGTGGCTTTGCCAATCCAAGGGATGCCCTATCTCCCTCACACTGCTCCTGGAAAGATATCTGATTTTCATAGCCATTCAAGGGGTTTGAGTTACCAGTTTCTGATTTGGCTGAGAGGGTGTCCTGGGCTTCGGAGAATAGGTGGGATCTTTGGAATGGTGAGAGACATGCAGAGCCATGCATGGCCAGGAACAGGAAGGCCAGGCAAGGCGAAGATGTCTTTCCTATAGCACATATGCCACATATTTTTTAAAGGTACTTTTTTTCCTATTGGATACTTTTTTGAAAGGTGGTATATATTTTGTTTTAACGTGTCAATATTTAGAATAGCTGGAAAACAAGCCTTTGTTATTCTCTAACCTTATAGAAAATAATCTCAGTTGCCAACTTAAAAATGTATGTGCACGCCCCCAGGAGGTGGGTACATGGTATTTCAAGATTCTTTCAAGGGTAAATTGAGCAAAAGAGGCTGAAGATAACCTGCAGAGACTCCAGGAAAAGGAACCAGACTGTGATGAGGGAGGGTGAGAAGAGGGTGGTGTTAATGTGTCAGTTTTTGAAACTTTGATAATAAGTTGCTGATGGATATGAAGATTAGGCCCCTGGGACATCAGAAAATTGGGAAACCATTTGAAATAGGATAAAAAAGATAAATTGGTATCCTAGTGTCAAAAAGAGGGGGGTTGCCAATCTAGTTTTGCCAACAGAGTGGTCTTTCACTTTTACTGCCTTTCAGCTATTTGACCACTCTGCAAATTGCTGAAAACTAATAATAATGCAAACGATTCAATTCTTGTCCACAGAAATGCCATTTAATGGCTGGTGAAGTACCACTGATCATTGTCCTGCAGATAGACCTCTTCTGCATTTCAAAATCCCTTGCTTCCTGTGGGGGGTGGGGGGAGGGTGAGTGTCTGCGTGTGTATGTATGTATGTGTGTGTGTTTCTTGGAACTTTCTTTAAACTAATTTTAACATCTTTTTGCTCACTCATTAATTAGTAAGTTAAATAAAAATTATTGGCAGGTGTTAATTTTGTATGAGAGGTGTTATTTTACTTTTTAAAAAATCCTTTAATGGGACCTAGATCTAGAACGCAAATAGAGATGGGAGACATTGGAGTATCAATGGTAGTTGAAGACAGGAACTGGATGAAGTAACCCAGGAAGAATGTGTCTATAAAAAAGAGGAAAAATAAAAAATTTAATAAAAACTGATCATAGGAAAGAAGTAAAAGTTAAAAAAAAGCTATCTGTTCCATCTGTACACCCACTAATGTTGCTATTAAAAAAGCTCAAAAGGGTTTGTAAGGACAGATTTTTAAAGAATTTGTAGGGCAGTGGTTCTGAGTGGACTGAGAAGAAGGTTGAGGAAGCCTAGGGTACCAATTAGTTCTTACTGGATGTGTATTTTGTAAAGTAATTCAACAGACATCAAATACAGAATAATTAATATAAAGTGTATCAACTCAGTCGATATCCTGGGAGAAATTTTACTTAAAATATGCTTACCAATTATGTGATATTTGACAGCTCTGTTGTTGCCAGCATCCATATCATAGGCCAAAACAGTATAGACAACTTCTGGCTCTTGGTTTTCCAGAACCTCAATGTCGTGAGTGGGAACAATAAACTTTGGTGCATGATCATTTTCATCTTCAACAGTGCAGAGAATTGTTGCGGTGCTGGACAATGAAGGAACTCCCCCATCTCGCACAAGCACTGATATGGAACACAAAGACAGCATGAATTGTGGCCTTTAATTCATACCTAAAAGATATTGTTCTAATTAGACAGAGTCAGACTAATTAGGCAGCACTGGATCAATAATGTTTTATTTAAAGACACCCTATGGAAATGCAAATTTTCACCACTGATTTCTTTTTTTTTCTTTTGTTTTAGCATAGTCAAAGGATCCTTTACCTCGAAGAGTGAAGACTTCTTGAACTTCTCTGTCAAGCGTGGTAGTTGTTACTACCTCTCCAGTGTCAGAATTTATCTCAAATAACCCAAATGAAGAACCTGGCATGATTTCAAACTGAAGCTTGGAATTGATTCCTTAAGGAAAATATAAAGAAAAACTTAGCAATTATCCCTTTGAAAGTCATTCATCCACCTTCCTATTCCTTTTCCTTTAAACATGTTAGGTCATAGATGAAAAAAGCAAGATTCTTAAGCAGCCTTCAAATTAAGGTATAAGAACAACTCTTTTGGCTGTTTCTGCCAAATAAAAGCCTCATGGGCTGAAATGCTTGATTTTCAAAAGTCTTATGAGACTTCCCCACAGTGAATGCTTTGGATTTTTTCCTTCCCATAAAAAATTTCTTATGAGTGTGCAACTCTACAGCATATTCCTAATTACTCCTTCTAACACCCCTGGTTGTGATTTAATGACATAATTGTAAGCTTGCAGAGCAAATGACAATTTTGGTAGATTGACCCTCTATTTAAAAGCCTGTGCTCAGTAATAGTACTCTGCTTATTCTCAACCTCAAGAGGCAAGCACATGGAGGTGCTTATATGTGTATTTTTGTTTTGTTTTTCACTTAGTATTCTGCCTTCTATCTGGAGTGAGAAATGTGGTGCCACATTATTACACATTTTGAAAATAATTCTTCCCATATTTTTGTGGTTTTATTTCTCCCCTGAGAAAAGTATCATGTCATTTCCTTCACTGTTTATGAAGATCATTCATACCATCAATTTTAATGAGTTTATTCCATGCCATTGCAGTTTATTTGCATTTTACACAATTCCTTTCAATCATTTCCCTATGTTCTTTTCTTAACTGACAAGAATTTTAGGTAGAGATATAATGCTCAGAATTTATAGTGTTATATTTTAATAGAAGATGAAATATTGTTCTTTTGGCCTTAAGAGAAAAGCTAAATCACAAATTTCCATCTTGCCAGTCTTAAAAAGTAAATTTTCAAACCATTATGTTCTAGTGGATATGGTATAGGACTAAGAGCTGGAAGGAGTGGACTATAATTCTAGCTTTACTTAAGAATGAATGTGCATGTTTCTTACTATATCATCTAGAGGAGAAATATAGAAATATATGAGATATAATCTGCTAGCATTTTAATGACCTTGAGAAAAAAGTCTAATAAAAAAGGATCGATATATTTAATATGACAGGACCATACATCACCAAAATGTTTCATTCTATCATTAGGCATATTATTAAATTACTGATTATTATTAAAGACTTATAATAATTATTTTGGTCACATAATGATCATATAACCTATTTCATAGCCAAGACAGAATTTCTAAAATTCCAGTTGACTAGGATTTGTTAGTCCTGTCTATATCTGCCCACATTTAAAAAAATGGGAGCAATATAATATATCGACTCTCCTTTTCCTTAAGAAAAGTGAGCAACATCAGGTTCTAAGCACAGTGCTATATGCCAAAGACAGAGAGGTGAGTCAAACAGATGTGGTTTGGCCCCCATAGAACTTATAGGGACCTATTAATTTTTAAATAAACTCACTCACTTCCCATATGATTTTATTATATGTTATAAATAAAACCAAATATTACATATTTGTATTATACATTATAAAATGTGATATTCCGGGAGTGCCACAAAAAATGTATACACATTTTAAGCAATGTTATCTATGTATTACTTTTTGAAGGTGAATTGACTTATGGTAACAATGTGTAGTATGACGTTTGCTCAAAAGATGGCATTAATCAAATGAATGCTAGCGTCCCATACGACAAGCAGGTCAAAGAAAATGGCAGAAGCACACTTGTCATTCAAGGAGAACAAGACCATTTGAAGTGGTATTTGAAATTTGACAACGTTGTGGACGTACAATGACAGTGGAAGCATGAGTATGCAACAGAACCTCCAAAACACCTAACAACTGTACCCATTCGTGATGTGTTTGAGATGCATGGTACTGTGTGTGACGTGCACAAGGGAAAATCCAGGAGGCCTCGCATAGCAACAAGTTCTGCAGTAGTTCGCCATCATCAGAAGTGTCTGGACACTGATGGTAACCACTTAGGGCACCTCCTGCAATGGCAGAAGTCGAACGTGACTTGTATTCATCTTTTGTTATGGCATATATTATTACAATTTTAATACAGCTTTTTCCTTTCTTAAAATGTGTATACATTTTTGGCATCCTCTGTATTATCCATTTTAAATTATCAACATTTGCCAAACCTAGAAAATGTCTTCAAGTGCTTAAATATAAACTCAGATCTTTACACTTTCCCTTCCTCCCATTGTTCCCATTACCCTTTCATGTGCTTCACCGCTGTATTCAATATTTCTCTCTTTAAAAACTTACAGTATTTATTTCTATTATTCTATATAGCATTTTCCCTAAGATAACAATCCACTCACCCTCATCCTCTTAGTATAGTACTCAGGATAAACAAGATCTTTACTTATAACTGTTATTTGCATACATACATACTTTTTTCATAATCCAAACTTGGAAACCTTTATGACTTAGATGATAGGAAGTAAATCTAAAGTATTTTACTGGGGTTCATTCAGAATTTAATTAGTGTCTGGTTTCTTACTTATCACACCCTTATAATTCTCCAGAAAGAACATAGTGTCATCAAACTTAAGAACTAAAAAAATTAAAATTAAAAAGAGATTAGTCAGTCTCATTCCATCACCTCACTAAGAAAATTGGTTATCTGTATCTGAAGATATTTAGGAATATCCTTATGACACACACTTCCTGAAGGGTATGTGTGTGCACGCGAGTGTGTGTTTGTGTGTGCCTTCATGCCTGGTGAATGCACACATGCCTATATCTGCTCTTAGACCTCAAGACCGGCAGTCTCATAATCTTTTAATTTCTCCCACTCTGGGATTCCTGTCTTCAATTCATTTACTTCCCTCTCCATCCCAGTCCCACAAACTATCACTTTAGCCACCTTCCATAGTTCCTCAGTTGCTATGACTTTTTGCCAAAGATGCCCAGCAAAGCCTCAGCCCAGGATTAACTTGTTCATGTCTCTGCTCCCTTTGAATATTCAACAGACGACTAGAGTTGGAGGAAATTTCACAATTGCATGGCTTTGAAGCCCCTGAATAGCCACTGTATTTGGCAATCTTTCCATGTCATCTTGGTCTCCCCTCTCTTGCCCAACCACCTACTGGCTCATTCTCACAGGTCACTTCCCTTTCTAGTACCCAGTGAGAAAAGGGGCACTGGGAGAGGGCTCCTTCCACTTCTGCATCTATATTCAATTCTACCCCTGCTTTTTGTCTCAACAGTGAAGATAATTCCCCAAACACACTCTCTTAGAATTTTTCTGTCAGCTCTAGCCTTTCTCCTAAAATTTTTCCCCTTGAATTATATTCTTCTCTGGATAAAAGAATTAAGCTTCCCCCCCTTCTTTTTTATAGTCAACTCTCCTTTAAAAAGTACAATCCAGTCTCTGCAGCTAACTTCAAACCACTGCCCTTCCCAGCTACTCTTTCTATGGTGACCAGTGACCTTCTGGTTATAAAATCTCCTAGCCATTTCTAGTTTTTACCTAACTTGTCTTCTTTGTGGCATTATATATTGCTGCCTGTTGTTATTTAAAAAAAAAAACAGAAAGGAAGGAAAAAAATAAGAGAGAATGGAGAGGGAAAGAATACAAAAATAAATCTTTTTTGAGGGGGTTCTCTATAGGATATTTTTCTCCTCCTTCCTGGAGTCAGTGCATTAACTGGTACGCTGGCCACATCATCATCTCACTCTACACAGTCATGGCTTCAGTTTGCACCCATATGCAGATGACTCCCATGTATCTGTACTGAGCTCCAGTTACTTCTTTGGTTCATTTGTTCATTCATTCGTATGCAATGCACATATAGTGGGCGTCAGACACTAGAAAGATATCACTAAATAGTTATCTTGGTCCTTAGAGTTCCACTCTGGTGGGGAGACAATAAAATCAATAAGTTATAGAAAGTGTGATAGGATATAGAAAATCACTGAGGAAGTAGATCAGGGAAGACTTATTCCAAGTAATTTGTTTATTAATTATCTAATTCAATAAACACACAAAGAAAGTAATAACAGGTGCCAGGGCTCTGTGCCAAGTGCTAAGAACATAACTGTGAGTAAAAAAGACAACTTTCTACCCTCCCAGTTATAGCACTGGATACAGATCAGAAAGCTGGCTATTATGATTCCACGTAGTAAGACATGACTGGATGAGCTGAGTTGCTTTTGGTATAACCTGAGACCCTAAAGATGAATAGGAGTTAACAGATCAGAGGGAAGAAAGTATTGGAATGCTTTCGATACAAAATCCAAATAACTCATCACAGCCCACAACGCCACTTACAATGTGGGCTCTGCTTATTTTCCCAGCCTCTTCTGGACTCTCCCCTTTGCTCTATTCTTGGTCCACAGGCTCTGCCTCTTATTCTCTGTACAAGCCAAGTTGCTTTCTGCCGGGGCCTCTGCAGTGGCTTTCCCCCAGGTTGCTTCTCCCTCAGTTCCTTACACGGTGCACTAGTTATCACACCATTGTGTCTCAGATCCAAATCTGTGCTTCTATGCTCTGCCCTGTGATGCTGGGGCTCGGGGTCTGAAAACCACAGCTCTCCATCATCAGCTGTCTCCCTCCTTAGGCTCTGCCACAAGGAGGCACTAGGAGGAGACAGAGTCAGAAGGAGAAGAAATGAGCTTTCCTTCTTCCTAGTTGCTTCCTGTTCCTGTCAGCAATGCTACTCGGACTCCCTGCACACTCGCAGAACCAGGCACTCCAATGCCTTCTGTCATGTTCCTATAGGTTCCTATAATCCAAACCTCTTCTCCTTGTTTCCCAGTGTTAGGGGTGGTAGTTGATTCCTAGAGTTATTATTATTATTATTATTAGTAGTAGTAGTAGTAGTAGTGGTAGTAGTAGTAACCTCAGTATTCCCTTTTTGTTCACTCAGCTATCCAACACCTATACTGTATTATAGCATCTAGACTCCCTAACTGATCATGACTGATAGAGTTCCCAGCACTGGTATTGGTTCTCAGAAAATAGGGTCTCTGATATTAGTTGGTTATATCTTTGGCCTCGAAATG